TCGCTAAACAGCGATTTCAGTGGAACGGATTATCGTCGTCTAGGGAGGCACCACTGTATCTCTTTTTCCCCTTTTTTCACTCCATGACTTCCCATATCTTTTTCTCCTTCCCAAAACCAAGATTTATTCTGTTTATTTTTATTGTACAGTGGTGGTGGTTAGCACTGTAGCACTTCTCAATTGTTTTAACACTAGCATAGAATGTGAATAAGAAAAGCACATAGAAATGAAAGTGGAAGTTTGTGGGACACCAGCAAGTATAAGTAACTGAAAGTTGTGACTTGGCTGACACTACAATCAGGATTTAAACCTTTCTTTAATTTCAGTTGTATATTTTTAAATTACAGTGAAGATAATTGATAAGTGGAATGTGTATATACTATTAATTTTGTGAATATAGGACTGAGATTTTGGGGGTAATATTTATATTCCCATTCACAAAGGTATACCAATCAAGGGAAAATCCCAGAAGCTGATTCCTTTTTTCATCAGGTAACCGTTTCTCACTTAAGCACCAAAGCAATTGTCAGGGCTCTTTTTTAATTGTGAATGGCCTTGATCACAAGAGGGTATCCTGTAGACCACAGTTCCCTAACCCCTAGTCTGAGGCCTGGGGCTGGTCTGTGGGCTTGCCAGAACCGGGCCGTGGACATGAGTCTCCACTCCCCGGGGGGGTGTCACACTTGTGGGTGGGCGTGTCATGCTCCTAACCGTTCCCCCAGCACCCATCACTGTGCCCCTTCCCTGCAGGAAAGCCACCATGGGGCAGCCCGCCTGGGAAGCACCAACTACCGGCCACCGGGCTTGGCACCGCCCCACTCAGCATGAGCAGCTGGGCAGGAGCGCACATATGATCCTGCTGTTTCCTGCCTGGCTGACTCTTCTCAGGTGGGAAAGGTTGGCAGGGCCAGGCTGCACAGGGCATTGCTGCTCGTCCGCTTCCAAGGTTCTGGGAGGGTGGTTTCCCTATGGTTGCCGCCGCCACATCCCCCGAATGTGGCTCTCCTTATGGGGACTCCCGTTGGAACCTTGCTCCTGCCCTTGCAGCGGCAGCTCCATCGCTCATGGCGGCCCTGCCCGGCAGCCCTTGCCTTCTCCTTCTCCAGCAGGGAAAGCATCCCCTGCCACCGGAGCCCCACTTCCTTTTCCGCTTGTTGGCTCATCTTGGCCTGCCTGTTTCTCTCCTCCCCTCCCGTGGGACTCCTGCTGGGTAGAAGCTCCTAGCCGCCCCCACCCAGCAGCCCTTGGCTCCCCCCAGGCTGGCCAGAAGTTTCCAAAGAAGGCAGTGCTGCGCACCAAGAGGGCTCACTGCCCTGGCTTGCTGTCCTGGCCTTCTGGCCGGCCCCAGGGCTGCTGGGGGGGAGCGGCTAAGGGCTCCTACCTGGTGGGAGTTCTGGGTGCCCCACAGGAGGGCAGGAGAGGGGAGAGAGACAGGCAGGGAAGGGGCTACTTCCAGCTACTGCTGGAGCCCTGACCCAAGGGCGGGCGAACGGGCAGCAGGAGCACAGACAGGACCGAAGAAAACAAGCTTCTTGTGAAATACACAGTACCAAAAGCAGACAAAAAAGCAAACAAAAACCCACCACCATCGTCAGCAGCACAACTCTGCTTTCCTTCCTTTTCCCACCCCACCCCTACCCCAGCCCGACTGCCAGAGGAAACAGATGGGTCTGGCAGGAGCACAGAGAGGACTGAAGAGAATGAGCCTCTTGTGAAACACACAGTACCAAAAGCAGACAAACAAGCAAACAAAAACCCACCACCATCGTCAGCAGCACAACTCTGCTTTCCTTCCTTTTCCCACCCCCACCCTACCCCAGCCCCACTGCCAGAGGAAATAGGTGGGTAAGCTCTGCTGGCTTGGCAAGGAGGAAGGCGCAGGTAGAGAAGACCTCTTACCGTTGCCCCTTTCAGGGGGTCATTTCCCCTCCTCCCCCAGTGCATTAAATGCTTTTGGGGGCAGGTGGGTTGGTTTGCCTCATTCTGGGGAAAAGCAAGCCTCTGTTGAGATAGTGCCCTGCATGGGCAGGGGAAGGAGCAGTCTGATGGAGGAAACAATGTGGCATGATGGCCTTCCCCTCTCCTCTCCACCTTCGCTGCAGTTGCTTGTGTTTTCTGGTTTGGGGAGAAGGTGCTTCCTAGTGGGTGGAGTGGGGACTGACTGCTGCTGGCAGGCATGTATATTTCGGCTCCAGGTTGCAGCAGCAGCTGTGAGTTTCCCGGGACCACTTGCCGCCACCGACCTTCTCCCCTCCCTCCCTCTGGCCAAGCCCTGGCTGAGGCAATGTCTGCCTGGAAGAGGTGGAGTTCTGGGGGAAAGGCGAGGAGGAGCTCCAGGTCCGGGGAGTAGGGCTGATGGAGGCCCGAGAGAACCTGCAGAGCTACCAAAGAGGAAACATTTCTCTCTTCCCCCCACTTCCCACACAGTTTCTGCTATGTAATTCCAGCTGGAGGGAGAGTCCCCTCCTGACTTTCTTATTAAGCAGGAGGAGGAGGGCAGGAAGGATACTGCCCTCTCCTTTTGTGTCTCACCCCAAGTGGTGCATGCTTGTACATGTGGTGAAAGAGGAGGGGAATGAGAGTAATTGACTGAATAAGGAAGGGATGGTGCTATTTAGTGGGAAATCTAAACTTTGTGTCCTCTGGCACAGCTTCGTGACACACCCCTCTGCAAGTGTGACAGCCCACCTGTGAGCGTGACATGCCCACTTGTGAGTGTGCAGGTGCTCCAGCCCCCAACTGGTCCACGCATGGAGCTCATAGCCCCCAAAATGGTCTGCAGACCAAAAAAAGGTTGGGGACCACTGCTGTAGACCATCTTGACTGCTGCCATTGATATTGTCAATATTCGGGCTACTCTTTGCTATATAAAGCTCCTTTTTCCTGCTGGCAGTGCGGGAAATGCAATATTGTGCAGCAGTATTGAGCTATTTCCTGGTGTTTTGAATTGTGGAAACAAAAGCACACTATCCCACACTCATAAACAATTTTAAAACAACTGAATTATATTGTCTGCTGGTATTACCAGCAACACAGCTTGAAACCTGATTTCCTGGATTTCTTGCTGTATCCTTATAAACAAACCCAAGCAGTCTGATAAGTTTAGGTGATATTCTCTGTGTTAAACCCATCTGGTTTTTCATACAATTAATTTAGGTTCTGATTTTCCAAAATGGAAAATACATTTGTACAGCTTGCCTGCTTAATTGTAGAACCAAATGTAATGTATGCTAAAGTAATTGCAAAATAGCAACTCTAATGTA